AAATGGAGACAGCCTCCAGCGGGACCGAGGGGAAAACATCCAAACCTGGGCCTTGCTTGGAAAGAGAGCTGGAGCTGCTGTTGGTCTGGTCTGTGGGATGGAGGGGAGCCCCTCTGGGGGGCTGCTGACACCCAGGTGAGGGAGGCAGTGACAGCATTCATCTTGGGGGCACTCCATCTCATTTAGCTCTTCTCTTCCCTCTGGGAGCCCCCTGGTTCTCCAACCCTCAAGATCTTGCTCCCAGAAGGTCACTGCTCATTCCTTTCAAGTGTGAGCTGACTCTCAGACAAGTATTTGTGTTTTAATGAAGGCCTCCTGAAAAGTTGTAAGACCCAAAGGAATTAAAATAAGTAGTGGAATATCAAGCAAATGGGGGTGATATTTTGGGCAAGGGAGCCTCAAAACAGAGGCCACAGAAATTGGCCCACCTTTAAGGTTATCCCTGAGTAGAGCCCTGGAAGGCAAGCCCCCCACCCTCACCTCCCATATCTCTAGACTGAAAATTGAAGGCCCCGGGTTATAGCTTTGGAGCCAGTGGTGAGGGTGAGGAAGGGTGTCTTGGTCACACCCTTCTTCCTGTGCTTGTCCCCAATTGGGCGCCCCCCTCTGGGCAGAGTAGAGTAGGAGCTGCTTCCTCCTCTGCAGATCACTTAGCCATCAAGCCTGGTCCAGCCTGTGGCTGCCTGGGATCACCTCCAGCAGGCATGGCTTTTGGTTCACCCTGGTTGTCCCAGGGCCTGCAGGGTGGGCGGTGAGGGTCAGCTGCCTGGGTCAGAAGCTGGTTTGCAGAAGCAGTCTGGCAGCCCCTTGGCATGGTTGACCAGCTCATAAGAGTCCCGGATATCGGCCAGGCCAAACCAGAAGAAGATCCACTGCTTGTTGGAGAAGCTGCCATCACAGTGTTTGAAGTACCTGGTGGGGGGAAGGGGAAGGCTTTTAGGGCAAGGCCGGTGCTCACTACTCACTGGTTATTTTGAGGACCTACTACATGCTAGACACCCTGATATTACTGGTTTCATCCTTACAGCAGCAGCCAGGAGTCTGGTGGTGCCTTGCTCTTTTCCCAGAGAAGCAGCTAAGGCTCAGAGAAGTTAGTTGACCTGCCAGAGTCCCAAAGCTAGGAAGGTTAGACTGAGGATGTCCTTTGCTCTCTGTGCCTCCAGGGGAGGGGTTCTTGTTCACCTCTTGGTCCCCACAGAGCTGGGTGAGGGGATAGTTGCAGAAGGAAAGAGAAAGGAGAGAATGTTTTGCTGGAGATGCAGTGGGCCTGGGGTCAGCGCTTGGCAACTGGGCCTGGAATAGAGCCTGGAGGGTCAGGATTTCTGAGGACTCTGGGAGAGTTGGGGAGCGTCTTCAAGGAATCCACTGCCATGGGGCAGAGCGTCTTTAAGTGTGCTCTGCTTCTGGGGAAATCTCAGACTCCGTGGGTGGTCTGCTCCCTGGGGAATGTGGGGCCACACTGAGTGGAGCCCTTTCCTTGGGGGAAGCCGGTCCTTCCGGGGGCGTGGCTTTGGAGAGACGGGGCTGGGGTGGGGGCGGGACCTACCAGGGATTGATGGGGTTGGTGACCCGGGAGCGCCAGAAAAGCGTCTGCAGGTCCCGCCGCAGGCACTCCCACAGCATCTGGCCCGAGCCTTGGCCCTGGCGGCTGGAGCTCACCACAAACTTGTCTAGATAAGGGGTGCCCCCCAGTACGGGCTCCGTGGTCAGAATTGCGGCCGCGTTGTACCTGGCGCAGCAGGGGAGAGGCAGGCTGGGACCTCTCCTTGGCCCCAACCTGCCCAGCTCTGTCCCTCGGTCCCTGCCCTCTGGGGCCCGCAGGCTCACCCCTCAGAGACGTAGACAGAGTGCAGCCGCGGGCGCAGCGAGGCCAAGTAGTCGTCCCGCAGCTTCTTGCCGAAGCTGGCGTTGACCAGGTTCACCAGGCGGCCCTGGTCCAGGCTGTCCAGGCTGCGCACCCGCAGCATCCGATCGGCGTTCTTGAACAGGGTCCCGGACCCTGGGGGTGGCATGGAGGAGGAGGGGTTAGTTTGGCCCAAGAGCCAGGTCCCATCCGCTCCTGCATTTGCCCTGCCTGGTGGGGGGTCCAGATACGACAGGGCGGGGGGGGGGCGCGGAGGAGGCAGTGACCCTCTTTGGGAGATCTCCACAATGAAGTGATTTCTGTGGTCGGCATAGATATGTACATGATTTTCACACAGGGAGATGCTTTCCCCTAGCAGTTTGTCCCTCAGCTTCCGTCCATCGTCCGGAGACCCACCTACTTCCCCTAGACCCGCCTCCCTCCCCCGAAACCCGGTCTCGCCTGGTCTCCGCCCCCGCCCCCAGGCGCGGCCCTCACCCTTGTTGCTGAAGAGCTCGGTGAGCAGCGTGCTGGCGGCGGTGATGGCGGCCGAGGAGTGGTGCGGCAGGCGGCTGAGCACGTCCACGATGAGCCGCACCTGCTGCCGCGCCTTGGCGCTCACCCACTCGGCGTTGGTCACCAGGTCCAGATCGGCGGGCAGGTTCACGTTACTCAGGACCTGCGTCCAGGCAGGGGGTGAGCCTCTGGCCTGCAGCCGGCCACGAACTGCGCCCCTGCCCCACGGACCCTTCCTCACCGACCCCTTTACCCTCACTTCCTCCCGGAGCCCTCGGCCAGGGAGAGTTCGGATCTGGGCACCACGCCGCTTCCGACCCACCCGGCTTGAGAATGACTCTGGCGCCCGTCTGGGAGGCGAGCAGGGAGCACGAGAGGGGCTCATGCAGGCCCAGAGTCGCGGGAGTGGAGCCCGTAAGGAGGGGACACACCTTTTGACTGCTGTCGTGCAGGCCTCCTCTGTTATTGAGGAAGATGATTTTGGTGGGCTGTAGCGCCTTGGCTAGAGCCGCGGTCACCTCCAGCGAGTCGAGGAGCACGGAGCGGCGCGCGGTCGTCTCCCCGATGGGGCACAGGATGGGGATGCTGCCGGACTCCAGGCACCACTGCAGCAGGTCGGTCTCCACCGAGACGATCCCGCCGTAGCTGTGGGCCAGACGTGGTGCTCAAGAGGGCCCCCTCCAGGCCTGCCGGGCTCGGGCAGGGCGCACGGCGGAGCGGAGTCCAAGCACGCCGGGCCAGGCGGGGCCCGCACTAACCTGGCATGAGGGGCTGGCTCCGCGGCGCCCAGCACCGATCCGCCGCCAAAAAAGGGCACGGCAGTGGCGGCGTTGTGCCGCAGCTCATCCACCAGCACCTTGCAGTTCTGAGCAAGCTGTGCCTTGGCCTCCCAGAAGGAAAGGCAGCCAGAGGGCGCGGTGGGCGCGGGCAGCCCGAGGACTACCAGCGGCTTCATGTCCATGCGCTGCAGGAATGCCAGGGCGAAGGCCAGGCTGGATACAGCCCGACTGCACTTGAGTACTTCCTCCTCCACCTGCGGGAGAGGGCACGTTCAGGAGGGCCAACGCTGGCTCTGACTCCTGCAGCCTGGTCCCAGGGCCCCTGTCGGTGCCCCTACCGTGCCCAGGAGCAGTCAGGCGCCATTTCTGGCTACCGGCGCCCACCTGCTCCGCCCTTTGCCCCGTTGGGTCTTGCCATCCCCTTATCTCACATTAGTGTTCCTCCCTCTGTGCCTCCCTGCGACCTTGGACTCTCTGACTTCTTGGGGGGAGGGGTGACCCAGGCGGCTCCTGTCCAGGTTCTCCAATGGTGGGGGGGGTTACTTCTCCAGCGCATCACACTTAGTGGATTAGGGTCCCCAGTCTCCTCGCCTGGGCTGGGCGTGAGACTATTGGAACAGCGCGCAGCTTCACCCAGTCCCGGGCACTCGGCCGGGCACCGTCGAACCCCTTCCCACTTCCGCTGTGCAGAGTCCGCAGCTGGTCCCGCCATGCCTGGCGACCCGTCGCTGTACAACCCCCATCCATCCCCTCGCTGTGACATGGCCGGCGCCGCGCTCCGCTCACCTCGATGACGGCGAAGGGCTTGTCGGCGGAGTGGTAGCAGGTCTGGAACTGCGTGAGCCAGTGGCGCGCCTCCCCGGGGCTGGCTCCGCACTGGTTCAGAAAGGCCTGGATGTCCCGCTGCACCAGCGAGCGGCCAGCCGGGGGCCCGGGGGGGTCGGGAGGGGCCGGGGGCGCGGGGGGCGGCGTCCATTCCGGCTCCTCCGCGGCAGGCGAGTGGGTGTCCTCCTCGGCGCCCTCGGTCCCTTCTCGTGCGGCCTGGGCCGGCGCCCAGGCGGTGCTGAGCCGGCGCCCCGGGCTGGCGCCCCCGGCCGCCCGCCGTCGCGCGCTGCCGCTCAGTCTCCGGGCGCCCCCAGTGCCTCGGGGACCGCGCAGCCTTCCTCCCGCAGAGGTGGCCCGTAGGGCCCAGGCCAACCGCGCCGTCGCCATGACAACCAGACCGGTTGCCCCCCCCCCCCCCCGCCCACGAGTGCGCTTCTGTCCGCAGCTCCCGGCTCTGGGGGGCTCTTAACCTGCTGCAAGACGGGGCTGGGATAGCCGCGGCGGGGCGCGGACTGGGGGCGCAGAGTCGTCTCTGGGTGCATTTGAGGAGGGTCAGGCCATGGGTCGGAGGGCGGGGCCACCAGTATCCCCCGCCCCTGGAGGGGGGGACGGAACCCACTAGCGCGGGTCACGAGGCAGAGATAAGGGGTGGCGGGGTGTCTTTCATCTGCTGCCAAGGCCGGTTCCAGGAAGGGCTCAGGGGACCCAGGGTGGCTTTGGCGGTCTGCGGGGTTCTGGATGATTAAACGGGAGTGTGAGGAGGGCAAGAGGGGAGAGTAAGTGGCCGTTACCGTGGGACTGAGGGAGGAGACTGCTAGGAGAGGTGGGGAGGAGTGGAAGGAGGGTGGAGGTGTGCCAACTCTGCTGGAGGGCGGGGAATGCCTCTATCCTATGATCTGAGCTTCAAGAAAATTGGAATCATGAGGTTACCAGGGTTGGCCAAGCTCCAGACACTGGGTACCACTTTGAAGAATTTTGTCATAGTCTCAAATCACCCCTTATTATTTATTTTATTTTATTTTACTTTTATTTTATTACCTTGTTTGAAACTAGGCCATAAGCTATATGCCAGACTATAAGCACTGTGAGGCCAGCTTCGGTGTTCCTTTTCCTCCTTTTCCCAATCGTATGCCCCCTTCCACCAAGACCAGCGTTCAGATCCAATGGGAAAGGGAACCGGAGGGTAAATCACCCCTTATTAGTATTAAGGTTCTTAAATTTAAAATTTCTCCCTATCAAGATTATAACTAGAAAACCAGTATCACTTGCTATCAACAGAAGAAAGCCTTAAGAATGAAGCCAAGGGGCGCCTGGGTGGCTCAGTTGGTTAAGCGACTGCCTTCGGCTCAGGTCATGATCCTGGAGTCCCAGGATCGAGTCCCGCATTGGGCTCCCTGCTGGGCAGGGAGTCTGCTTCTCCCTCTGACCCTCCCCCCTCTCATGCTCTCTGTCTCTCATTCTCTCTCTCTCAAATAAATAAATAAAATCTTTAAAAAAAAAAAAAAAGAATGAAGCCAAAACAAAATATTATTAAGTTCCAGCTGGCTAGTGTTGCCTGCTCTCTTGGTAACATAGAAGGCTACCAAGTATGCAGTGTCAGAAGCACCCTGGCAGCCTGGGAGGCTTTCTCCTGACCTGTGGAATGCCAGGCCCTGTGCAAAGCACTTCACTTCTCATTTCATCCTCACAATGATGCCAGGATGGGTATTATTATTCTGCCCACTTTATAGATGAGGAAATCAAGGCACAGAACTATGTGAGGGCCAAGGTCATTCGGCTTATTAACAGTGGGGCTGTTCTTTGAAGCAAAGCAGTTCTGCTTCAGATGCATGCTCTTAAACAAGATTTGAAAAGGACCTGAAAACTTTCCCAGGATGTGATTCACTGGGACTTGATACTGTATCCACCCGCTGCCAGAAAGCAGCCTGTACACTATCCGTTGTACACATCCTGCGCTCCCGTACACCCACCGTGCTGGAGCCCCACCCTCTGTCGTTGTAGAGGAGAAAAGCAAGTGTGGAGGAGCAGTGACTTGGCCAAGGTCACACAGCTGGTAGTGTCACGGCCAGATGCTAGGCATCCTAAGTTCTCACCACTGCTCTTTTCTTCCTTCTCTGCAGTTCTGTGCTCCCTGTGCTGGGAGTCAAGACTGTTGGGGCTCTGCCTGAGCTGCTTCTCCCCTGAGCATCCCAGAGGATGCTGGATGAGCACACCAACCCCTTCCCGGGATCCCCTGCCAACACACTCATGCATGCACCAACACGTGTGCACACACAGCACACACATGCACTCTCCCAGGCAGGAGACTCCTGGCAGGGGGAGGGGTTGCTGACCTTTGTGACCTCGTCCACTGACTTTTCCATTTTCCTACTTAGAAATTCTGGGTTCCATTAGAGAGGGAAGCATGGAAGGTCTGTACCCCCTACTCTGTGGGGTCATCTCTAAGGCCTTCTTTCTCTTCCCAGTTTGCTGCGGCCCACCCCCTACTTCCCTACACTTCCCAGAATCCACCAGAGGAGGTGGTCCTAGCTCCTGGGGGATTAATCATTTTCCAAGCCGCTCAGCGCTCCCACCCTCCCTGGCCCCTCTCTACTCAGGATTCCTCCTTCTCCGTCTCTCTGCCCCAGCTCTGGCCTCTCTTCACTCCTTCTCTCCCAAATATATGCCTCTTCCAGGCCCTTTCCCCCTCCTGCCAACTCAGGGCCTCTGTGAGGGCAAGGCTGACTTCTCCCTTCAGACTGGGGCTCCCTGAGGGCAGGGCTGTTGTTCCCCTCCTCAGACCAGGGGCCCACCCATTTCAGTAGCCAACAGCATCAGCCCCATTTCCCCTGGGCTGGTGGGGCAGACGCCAGCTGGGGAGCTGCTTCCCACTGCTTTGGGCTTTAGCCCAGAGGGCCGTGTCCCCAGGCAGCCAATGGGCCCAGGGATATCCTGAGTAGATGATTAACTCCAGGCCCAGTGACCCTGGGGCCACTGTGTCCTCACTGCCTCTCCCTGGGGGAAGGCCAGCCTCTGGTTGGAGAACTGGCCCTGCTTTGTGGAGGAGATGAGTTTGGGTATATGAGGTCAACACCCCTACCTGACCCCACCCCTCTGAATTGAAGGCCTACAGGATCCCTGTGGGTCTGTGGTTCCAGCTTGAATTTTCTTTGTTCCCCTCTGAAGCAGGCCGTCGTTTTGTTTTTCAGAGTAAAGCTTGTTGTCAATGTGCCCAGAATCAGGATCCTGTCTTCTCACCAGGCCCTGGGTCATGGAGATGCTGGGACCAGACACAACCTTCCAACCCCTCCAGACACTTCCCCTCGGCACAGGCCACAGCCTTGAGCACAGGAGCTGGTTTGAAGGGCCAAGGCTGTCCCTCCTACTAGAGCCCTCCTTAGCTGCCACTCAGGACAGGTGGGCGTGGAAGTGACAGGAAGCCGGGCAGGTGAGGGGCCAGGGGTGACAGCTGACAGTTCTAATCACAGCACCTGAGGGGAGATACACACACACACACACACACACGAGTACACAAATGTAGCATCCCACACCAGCCACTGAGATGCACGCAGAAACACAGATGTGGAGACACACAGGTGTACGGAGATACACAGAACACATGGAGACCCACACCATCCATTCTCACACAGATGTGCACATAGAGAGATACACATATATAGACACAACAGGTGTACAGAGAGACACCGGTCCACCCAGACACACATTTGCACGCAGAATTGTGCATGCTTATGTGCGCAGCGACCATGTCATACATAGGAACACGGACACACACACATGGATAGGTGCTGAGAACACGCAAATACACACCCAGCTGTCATCAGGGACAACTACAGGGGCACTTAGATCTGGAGACAGGAATGTACACACACACACACACACACACACACTACATACAGAGTTACAAGCAGACACCCCACCTGAGGTCATACTCATCTACCCACATAGAGGCACAGAGCCATACTCATTCACATGCCGTAATGGCATCTGCCGTGGGCGAAGTGGCCAGTAAACACTGAATGAACAAATGAATGAAGAGAAGACAGAAGGAAAGATGTAGGGCCCTGTGGAAAGGGAAGCCTGGCTCTGTGGACTATCGTGGGATTGGCCCTAGGACTTCCCAGCAGCCCCAAGGGGACCCTCTCCATCTGTGAGGAGGAAGAGCCCAGTGGGAGAGTACACAGGCCTCGGTCAACCGCGGTGTTGTGAGCACATACTATGTGCCAGGTCGTGAACGGGGCGCTCTGAGGACGCAGTCCCATTTTCCCTGGCTGGAGGTCAGGAGGCCTGGCTCTGCCACTTCCTTGGCTGTAAAGGTTTGGGCAAGGCATTTAACTTCTCTGGCCTCCTGCTTTCTCACTTGTAAAAAGGGGGGAAAAAGAATAAAACTTAATCTCACTGCATAGTAGTGAAGATGAAAAGCTCTCCATGGGCACTCAGTCCGCCAAATCCACACCGTGGGAAACTATAGGGCAAGCAATCTGGTTTCTTCAACAAATGAATTACAAAGAAAAGAGTAGGAGAGAGGAGGGCGGAATTAAATGAAAAGATGTATTTTTAAAAATATTTTATTTTAAGTAATCTCTACACAACCCTGAGATCAAGAGTCACATGCTCTACTGAAGCCAGCCAGGTGCACCAAAAAGACAGACAGATTTTAGAGAGAGAGAGAGTGAGTGCAAGCTGGGGGAGAGGCAGAGGGAGAGAGAGAATCTCAAGCAGACTCCACACTGAGCGTGGAGCCTGATGTGGGGCTTAATCCCACGACCCTGAGATCATGACCTGAGCCAAAATCAAAAGTTGGTGGCTTAACCGACTGAGCCACCCAGGTGCCCCCCCAAAAGATGTATTTTTATTTTATTTTATTTTTAAAAATATTTTATTTATTTATTTGAGAGAGAAAGTGTAAGAGAGAAAAAGAGATCATGAGCAGGGGGGAGGGGTAAGAGGGAGAAGCAGACTCCCCGTGGAGCGGGGAGCCCGATGCAGGGCTTGATCCCAGGACCCTGGGATCCTGACCTGAGCCGAAGGCAGACACTTCACTCACTGAGCCCCACTCAGGCACCCCCCAAAAGATGTATATTTTTAAAGATTTTATTTATTTATTTGACAGAGAGAGACACAGCAAGAGAGGGAACACAAGCAGGGGGAGTGGGAGAGGGAGAAGCAGGCTTCCTGCGGAGCAGGGAGCCCGATGCGGGGCTCGATCCCAGGGCCCTGGGACCACGACCCGAGACGAAGGCAGATGCCCAACAACTGAGCCACCCAGGCACCCCAAAAGATGTATTTTAAAGTCTCTTTTAATCCTTATTTGAATTCTGAATCAAACAAGCCATAAAAAATGAGACAATTGGAAAAATTTGAGCACAAAGGATATTTGATATATTAATTTTTAGGTGTGCTATGATTGTGTGTTGTTTTTAAAACTACTCCATATACTTTAGTGTGCATCCTGAATATTTATAGATGAAATGATAAGATGTCTTGCATTTAGTTCAAAATAACCCTGGAGGGGAGAAACTAGGGGTGGGGGGACAGAAGCAATAAGACTCGCTCTGAGTCAGGAGTCGGTATTTGTTAAAGCTGGACAATGGGTACAGGGGATCATTATACTATCTATCCACCACTATGTATGATTGGACAAATGAGAAAATTCAATGAATTCCCATAGGTGCAAGTTACCAGTCTGACAGGTGAAACACTCCATAAAAGCGAGCTTGCTTCTTCCATGAGTAGTTTTCCTTCAAGGCACAGATGCGTGAAATAGTAAATACTCCACAAATACATAATTTATAGATTTAAGAATTTTGGTTCCAGGGGCGCCTGGGAGGCTCAGTAGTTAAGTGTCTGCCTTCGGCTCAGGTCATGATCCCAGGGTCCTGGGATCGAGCCCCGCATCGGGCTCCCTGCTCGGCAGGAAGCCTGCTCCTCCCTCTCCCACTCCCCCTGCTTGTGTTTTCTCTCCCGCTGTGTCTCTCTCTGTCAAATAAATAAAATCTAAAAAAAACCAACAAGAATTTCCGTCTTGTCCAGCAGGGGACTCCCTACTCTCCGCCTCTTCTGGTTGCTTGCGGTGCGGGTTTGTGAAAAGGAGGAAGTTATCCGCAGTGTGAGGGAGATGTTGCTGGCCTGTTCGCGTCTGCTAGAGACCTTCTCGGAGATGGCACACACACACACAGACACACACA